GAAAGAGTGGGTGTATGTAACAACAACTGCTAGCAAAGCAGAATAAAATAATATATTTAAAGAGATGGGCTATTATAGCTGATGAAGATTTCTGAATGATCTATGATGGTTAAATACCATCCGCACATTTTCATTGCTTTTAGTGAAATACCTGATAGCCCTGGCCAGTGTAGCTCAGTTGGTTAGAGTGGCAACCCAATACACCAAGGTTGTGGTTTTGATCCCTGACCAGGGCACATACAAGAGTCAACCAGGGAATGCATAAATAAGTGGAACAACAAATTGATGTGTTTCTCTCTCTCCCTCCCTCTCGTCTTCAAAAATAAAAGATTTAAAGAAAAAGAGAAATACCTGATAAGTAAGATGTCAGACCTCATGAATTGATTGGAGAAAATATAGTGGACTCAGGAAAGTTTTATGTGATGAAAACTCAGATGTGGAAGAGCTCTGTATGTCTATGCAAACTTTGACCCATAAGTGCCGATAATTAGCTTGAACAAAGAGCAAGGTTTATTACAATATCTAGCTAAAATATTTATTCCAATTATTTCACCTGTCTAGTTTATAGGGAAAATACAATTGTTGGTTTGCCAACTTGGGGAGTTTAAAAAGCTCAATAAAAATATGATATATTAAGAAAAAAGGAAACTTCTGGAGTTATATTTATTACTTGCCTCCTCAGGAAAGAAAAAAAATTGTTTAAAACAGTGAGTTTTGACATAAACCAACCCAGGAGTCATCTCAGAACTATTTCCTTGGAAACTGTCTGAAAATAGAAGTTTTATCACTTGTTTCTTCAAAATGTCACCCATCTAGGAAGAACACTGTAGTCTACAGTTCGGAATCCTTACAACATAATTTGTTGACCATGTTTTCAACCTGATTTGTAAGCTGTCAGAAAGTGAGGACATTAACTTACATGTGTATCTGTAAATGTATACTGTGCCAGGGACCTCATTTTTGTAGATCTAAAACAAGAATTGCGGATGAAAATGTTTGATCTCCTTTATTTTTTTGAAATACTCTTTTTTAGAGTAGTATTAGGTTCATAACAAAATTGAGAGGAAGGCACAGAGATTTCCCATATACCCCCTTGCCCACACATGGTCATAGCTTACCCCATTATGCACATCACTTACCAAAATGGTACCTACACTGAGACATCATAACCACCCAAAGGGCACAGTTTAGCTTAGGGCTGACTCTTGGTGGTTTATAAAAGCATACTGACGTGTATTCATCACTGTAATATCATACCAAGTATTTTCATTGCCCTAAATTCCTTCGTGCTCCACCATTCTGCTACCTACCTTACCTTCGCCCCCGACAATCACTGATCTTTTTACTGTCTCCATAGTTTTGCCTCTTCCAGAATGTCATATAGTTGGAATCATGCTGCACGTAGCCTTTTCTGATTGGCTTCTTTCACTTGTAATATGCATGTAAATTTCCCCCATGTCTTTTCATGGCTTCATAGCTCATTTCTTCTTAGCACTAAATAATATTGTACATTCATTGTCTGAGTGCACCACAGTTTATCTATTCGCTCACCAACTCAAGGACATCTTGGTTGATCCCACGTTTGGGCAATGGTGAACAAAGCTGCTGTAGATACCCATGAGCAGGGTTTTGTGTGCACATACGTTTTTGGCTCTTTTGGGTACATGTCAAGTGCATGACTGCTGGAACATATAGTAAGAGCATGATTATTTTGTAAGCAATCAATGAACTGTTTCTAAAGTGGCTGAACCATTTTGCATTCCCCACCAGCAATGTTGCACCACATCTTCAGGAACATTGATGCTATCAGTATGCCAGATTTTGACCATTCCAATAGGTATGCAGTGGTGTGTCTTTGTTATTTTAATTAGCATTTCCCTAACAACATATGACATAAAACATCTTTTCATATGCTTAATGCCATCTGAATATCTTCTTGGGTGAGGTGTCTGTTGTTCAGATCTTTTGCCTATTTTTTAAATTAGGTTTTTATTGTTGAATTTTAAGGGGTCTTTGTATATTTTAGATAACAATATTGTATCAGATGTGACTTTTGCCAATATTTTTTCTGTGACTCCTAGAGTCCAAGTTATCAATTATTTCTTTCGTGTATTGTGTCTTTAGTGTATCTAAAATGACATCATCATACTCGAAGTTATCTAGATTCTCTCCTATGATATTTTCTAGGAGTTTTACAGTGTTGTGTTTTGCAATCATATCTATGACACGCTTTGAGGGGATTTTTGTGAAGGGTGTAAGGTCTGTGTCTTTTTTTGTGTGGAATCCAGGTCTCCCCACTATTTTCACCTCTACCTTCACTTCTCCTTAAAAAGTACCCTGGACTCTAAGTCCCAATGGGCACCTCAGGTTCTGAAGAAAATGCTGCTTGGCTCAACCTTGCTCTTCTCTATTTTTTCTTTCCTTCCTGCATAACTGAATGTAGACCCCATCCTGGCATAATAATTGGGGTTACTACAGCTACCTGCCAGGCTAAGGTAGAAATTATTTCTTACCGAGTAATTTTTTAGCAATTTCCAATTCCAGACATAGAGAAATCATGACTTCTATTTTCCCAGAGGACATGAAGTCAACCTCAGCCAATCACTCTGAACCTTTGGATCCTTCCCCATTTATTTCAGCGAGGTTAGATTTCCATGGAACTTTGGGGCCTCCTGTTAAATTGCTATTATGTTATAGCCATATTCACCATAAGAACACATCAACAATGAAAAGAAATCTGTTATCATTTTTTAATGTCTAATGTCCTATCAGTCTCAGCATTTTTGGAAGACTAGGATTTCATGCCTAGGAGACACCTCAGGGTCCTCTCTACCAAAAAATGCTTGAAAGATTGTTTCTTTCTGCTACATAATTATTTTTAACGTTCACACCATTCAGCCCTAGAAAACTTCTATTGCCTTTCTGAGCTGACATGTGTATAGGCAGTTATAGACTGTTTCCTATTCAGCTCAAGAAAACACACACTGCATTTGTGAGCTAAATGACACACATTACTAATTGTTTATTTTCACTTATTTTTATCTTCCTCTCATGGGTTGAGTTGCTGCCAATGTATTTAGCTCAATAAATGTTCCTCATCTTCTCCTCCCAGCTTCACAATCGACTTGTAGCTTCTAGTTGCATCTCAAATAAATATTGGCAAAGCAATTCAAATCCTTAAAATGGCTCAGTGGATTGATACAGTCTCAGCTAGAGAAAAAATAAAGTCAGAATCCTCAACACCCATCATGGTTGTCAGCCTCTATCACAGGTTTCCCTGACGACTGGATTCGATGAGTCCAATAACCTTCCCCATGTTTCAATGAGACTATCACATCTTAGGCTAAATAAAAGGGATGTGTAATATCTTACAAGTATATTTGTATTTGATGGCAGTTTCCTGTGAAAGGTAAGAGAATTGGGGATAAATGAGTTTATGTATTGGATCTGATAGAACACTGGATGGTAAATGGGAAAGAAGCTGGGTGGCAAACACAGCTGCTGAACTGGCACATTGCCATGGTCAAGAAGGTGTTCTGAGAATTATACTCAAGAAGAAAAAAGAAGGTCAAGTTAATAAACTCCCAACCTGGATTTTCCTCTTTTGAGGACTTGGCTGTCCATGTCATCTGTTGACATCAAACCAAAGAAACTCTTTTACTTTTGTCTTTATGAGGGTCTTCATTTCCTGCACAAAGTCAGATAGATCATCTTGTTTTGTCTATCATGAAGTAAGGTCAGAAAGAACTGAAGATAGAACGCTAGGGTTTGGGCTAAACTGGAGCATGTATTGCCTCACCATCATGGTAGCTGTGTAGGTACGTATAGTTACTATTAAGATTCTTGTTGACCTGCCTCCACTGTCCCCCCTTTGGTTGGCTCAAGTTCTTTCCAAATCCAGCTTCTCAGGGAGAATAAAGGATGCTCATTTAGAGACCAAAGACGCAGCTGCCTGTCCTGTTTCCTACCCATGCTGGTGCTTCTTTCTTTTCTAAGCTCTACTTTGTATGTCTGCCCCTCAGTCCAAAATGCAAATGCCTTACAGTCAATAGAAAAGGTCAGATGCATAGTCCCCGTTTCAGTTACTTTAGAGGGTAATGTGGAAGTTGCTTGTGTCTGGCGGTGGAGGCGTCAAACAATATGGAAGGCTGTTGTGCGCTGCCAGGTCAGGACACCTTCCCTGGTAACTTGGCAGTTGGAGAATCTAACCAACCTCTTTTTGGGAGGTCAGAACATCCCAACATTTTGTATACATTGTGTTGGAAAGTCATAACAATTAAAATATTTCAATATTTCTTAATAAAATTCTCCTTAGACCAGAGAAAGGGGAGGCTATAGACCATAATTTCTGCTGATCAAAATGGCGGGTAGAAGGCAATGTGTCAAGTCACTGACTTTCATTTTCTCAGCAGAGAAGTATAATCTCTTATTTGAGATGACTCGAGATTGACATTTCACTTTGCCTTTCTGGGTGGCAAAAAGCTGGGATGTCTTTCTGGGAAATATGATCCACTGAGGAAAGAATTTAAGCAACTTTTGTGAATAAATCAAATACAAATAGAGACAATATTCCTTCAGGACAAAAGCATGACTTCAAAGTTTGCAAACATTTGGGTTCAGTTCTCCTATTTCGGATTTTAGTGAGCAAACATGTCAAGCTAGATTAATCCATGTATGGGCATAATATCTGAATTACTTGTTAACGAGAACGATGGACTTGCACTTCAGATGTAAAGAAGGAGGGACAGAGAGAGGAGGAGGAGAAGGAGGAGAAGGAGAAGGAGAAGAAGAGATATTTGTCTTTAAATGTCTTTATTTCTTGGAGCTTCCTGATTTTGGCAGGCTGAGCAAGAAGACTGAGAGGATTGCAGTAACTATTCTTATCGTACATGTGGGAGTTCTCCCTGTGCACTTCCTCTACAAAATCAGTAGCTCCAACCACATCTTGAGAAATTTTTTACAAAACGTGTTCGATCTGACACACTGCCTGGCAAAGGCATAGAAGAATCTAAGGTTGATCTCAGAAACACCATCGCCCTTTTCCTTCACCTCAGAACACTTCTTTGAAGACACTGAAGTCTCCCAAAACAGGAGGTGAGAATAGTTTACCTGAAGAATTTGTGTGAGATTATGGTCCATGAGGTCATTTGTATAATAATGGGCATAGTATTTCATTGGTTAAAAAACAAAACAAAAAACTTTAGGGATCTTGTCCTGAATTTATGTATTTGATAAATTCTTTTTCTCCATTTGGATGCCCAGAATGAGCACAAATGGATGCATGATTTATGCAGATATATGCTAAAGCTCCGCCAACAGGGACAAGTAGGCGAATCAAAGTCTGCTGTCTCCATGCATTCCTCTCCCCTCCACCTCCACCTCCACCTCCACCTCTCCTTCGCAAGTAACCCAAGTAACTTGTGCTCCTAGTTGCTTCTTGTCTACTATTTGGCTCACTTTTGCTTATCACCCCCTTTTGAAGTGCCTGCCCCTTTCTTCTCCTTGTAACCAAAGCAAGTGTCTATAAATTCCAAATAACGTCTGAGGGCTACCGGAAGCTTATTTTGTCTGGGCACATTATATAATCTCATCCCTGGAGCATTTAGGATACCTGTTACAATCTGTGTGTGTGTGTGTGTGTGTGCGCCTTCGTCTTCTTCATTGCACTTACTGTGCTAATTTCTCTCATCACAAGTATTTCAAGCTTCTTGAACAAAAAAGGACCGTATTTCAATAGTACTTACTATCAACTGAGTGCTCACTACATGAAAGTAGCAAAAAGTGTTAAAGCAAACATTGAAAAGTGATGCAAGAATTAAACTGAAATTTCTTATCTGACAGTTTCTCTGAGTGTGTAATGTCTGAATTGACATCTGGCCCATTCACGTACCTAATGCTACATGTCGCGGTAGCAGAAAATGCTCGGTTCCACTCGTGTTGTCTTTGCTTCATTTATACCGAGAGAATCGCTTTCTTGTAGCTCGATGTGGTATTATAATTAGTTCTGATGAATGAGATGTAAGCAGGGGTGCTATGTGCAACTGCTATGCTGTGTCTTTAAAGGAAGCAGGCAAGGTGTTCGTTCTTTCCAACGTAAACACGATGGCTGGTGCACAAGCAACCATTTTGGGCCAGGAAGGTGCCTGGGGATCTACTATCACGTATCCACATTATCAGCCATGGACAGCAACTTTAAGGGTGGGTATGTGAAAAGTTAATAGAGAAAAGCAGACACATTTTTCTCCCACTTTTTAAGGTGCTGTAAGGTAGGTTTCTAGCATTCACATTTCAACCTTGGAGGACCACATTCTTAGTCTACCTGGGGCAGTCCTGGGTTACCATAATGCCTCATTATAATTTTTCTACTACTTCTCAGCATTCTCAAAAGTATCTGGCTTAGGTGATGTGTTATATGAAGGTGCTACATAATCCTTTAGATTCCACATGTTTCTAGCTGCAGAAACATTTATGGAAATGACATTTTCCCTAGGAGTTTAAATGTAAAACAGCTAAAAACGGAGTTGTTCTGGTTTAAAGAGGGTTGGAATGGCTACAGTTTTGCCTTATAACTGCATATTACAGACCAGGCCTGACAGTATGTGTGTGCTGGGGGAGCAGGGGCAGGTATTCATATATCTACTTGCTTGTTTCTTGGTGTGGTTTTTATTTTCATAATTGACGGGGATTTCTACCAACTAAAAAGATACTATTGTCCTTAGAGACAAATGTAATGATAAATAAAGGGAAAAAATAAGGAAGACGCACTAGACAGTGTTAAAGGCCCTTTCTTCACTGTGTTTTTCGGAGTTCAGCCAATTTACTGAATTTACATAATCCTTCCCACTCAGGGATACCTACTTGGTTATCCCAATTTTACAGGCGAGAAAACCGAAGTCGAAAGCAATGCAGTGGGTTTCTATGGTCACATAAACATCTGACTGAATGGCTGAACCCAAACCCAAATGTACTCAAGCTCCTCTCATTGAAGACTGATTAAGACTGGGGTTTTTCCCTTGTTTCTATGAAGCCTTCTTTTCATGTTGGCTCTTGTCCATATTCCCTCCTATTTACCCGATGACTACTGTGACTCAATTATTGCAACCTCCTTCCAGAGAAGAGAAAAGAGGAAGCGAGAGGAAATTAAAAGTCATGTTAAATGAGTCTATCCCTTTCAGGAGAAAAACAAAAGCATTCCAGCAGCAGCAGTGTCTAGTGCAGGGGTGGGCAAACTTTTTGACTCGAGGGCCACAATGGGTTCTTAAACTGGACCGGAGGGCCGGAACAAAAGCATGGATGGAGTGTTTGTGTGAACTAATATAAATTCAAAGTAAACATCATTACATAAAAGGGTACGGTCTTTTTTTTTTTTTTTTTAGTTTTATTCATTTCAAATGGGCCGGATCCGGCCCGCGGGCCGTAGTTTGCCCATGGCTGCTTTAGGCCAATCATATCTCATCCTGTGAGTGAACAGCATTAGGGACTCTTATGTTTGAGTCCGTGATGTCTCCCTGCTCTTGACCAATTACTTGAGCTCTAGTTCTCAGGGAAGCACGCAGGTCTGGGTGCTGTGACGGCAAACAGAGGTGTCTGCCACACCAAACCACCACAACTTTTGGATGTTTATGGAAAACGCCGTGCCCTGAATCCTGCAGAGGCTCTAGAGCAGCGGTTCTCAACCTTCTGGCCCTTTAAATACAGTTCCTCATGTTGTGACCCCACCATAAAATTATTTTTGTGGCTACTTCATAACTGTAATGTTGCTACTGTTATGAATTGTAATGTAAATATCTGATATGCAGGATGGTCTTAGGCGACCCCTGTGAAAAGGTCATTCGACCCCCAAAGGGGTCGCGACCCACAGGTTGAGAACCTCTGCTCTAGAGAGAGAGGAAGTCTGACAAAGGGACTGTGTTCAGCATGAAAAGGCACCATGGGGAGACGTAGAAAAGTTACATTGCATAACCATGCATTTCCACCTTGCTAGTTTGCTTGGGGAGATTGCCTTAGTGCCTGGAATACTACTTTCAGCACTTTGAAATGCAATATCTTCCGCCCTCTGCTGGTTACAATTTTGATTTTCAATTTTAAGTAAGAAAATGGAATGAGGAAATCACAGAATGCCCAATACAGGAATAACTGGGATCGAAAGTACCACCCGACAGAGCCGCATTCGCGGTGCCCCACTTAGTTAAAAGTATTAGCTCCTGAGCAAGGAGGAAAACCTTTCCCCAGCTCTGCAGCTGCCTGGGAAGCCTGCATCCTCCAGCTTCTCCAGCTCTCTCCAGGAATTTTCCCACCGAGCTTCTATCTGCAGAGGTCTTTAGAGATTCCTAACTGGCTTTGCTTGAGATGGCTCTGAAGTCCTGGTGGTCTCAGTATTTTTGATAGAAAAGCCTTTGTTCCTTGAAGGGAAATGTCTAAAAGCATCTTCAAACCACACAGTGACTTTAAAAGGACAGTAATAATTTAAATGCTGCCTGGCCAGGATTTCATCAGCTGTCTCTTTCCCTCTTTGGTGGATCTGGGAGAGGGAGAGAAAGCCTGGTCATTATCATAGCAAACTGTTATTAAATTATGTCAAGTGCAAATCGCTATGACTGACACTTGCAAACAAAGAAGGGGTGTCCAGGAATAAAAGAGCCCTGCAATTACAATTAGATGTTCTCTTAGGAACAGATTTTAAGGACCTAGATGCCATAGAACTAGAATTCCATATGTATAATATTATTGGAACTCTAATATATGTGTGTGTGTGTGTGTGTGTGTGTGTGCGTGCATGGGTCAACACCCAACCAATTGAGCCACACCGGCCAGGGCACATGTATGTTTTTGTTTTAATTTTAGTCTGAGAAGTCATCCATAGTGTGAATATACTTCATTGTATTTGTCCGTTCACCCGTTGACAGACATTTAGGTGATTTCCAGCATTGGGTTATTGTGAATAAAACTGCTATAAATATTTTTGCACAAGTGTTTTGGTTTCTCTAGGAGAAATATCTGAGAGTGGAATTGCTGGCCATAGACATAATACATTTCTAAAATAAAATTTTGTATGTTAAAGCAAAAAGAATCCACCAAAAGAATTCTCCTTGAATTCTCTGAGTGCTGTCTGTTTTTCTCTTGGCCGGAGACTTGCCTGACTTGTGGGAATTTGGAATCGCCCTTGGCATTGCATGTGGCGACACAACTGTATAGAAGCTTCTGTGAAAGTTTTTGTTTCCATGAATGTTGGGAACTGTCAGAATTAAGAATTATGTATCCGGCGTGAACTTTCACATAGCTGAAGCTGCTGTCACCAGGTGACAAGCCCAGGGCTTAACCAAATAAGTCAAGACAAGAATTCTGTTGTTTTTTGTTGTTTTTTTTGGCTTTTTCCAAAAAGTATCCAAGGCCCTCCTGCAAATCACCCGGGTACCTGATTATACACACGTTTTATCAAGTAACCTGGGGACCCTTATGACCAGAGATGGTTAAGAATCACTGGATCGCCCTGGCTGGTTTGGCTCAGTGGATAGAGCGTCGGCCTGCAGACTGAAGGGTCCCGGGTTCGATTCCAGTCAAGGGTACATGCCCGGGTTGTGGGCTCGATCCCCAATAGGGGGGGTGCAGGAGGCAGCCAATCAATGACTCCCTCTAATCATTGATGTTTCTATCTCTCTCGCTCCTTCTCCCTTCCTTTCTGAAACCAATAAAAAATATATATATATTTTTAAAATTGCTGGATCGATCTAGACCCACGATTTTCAACTGTGACTGCTCAGTACAGTCACTTAGAGAGTTTTCAAAACTTCCATGCCCACGACACACCGAAGACCAAGTCAGTCAAACTCTCCGGGCATGGACATCAGGTGTCCATAGGTGACAATGAGTGGCCAAGGATGAGAAAGACTGGTCTGCCCTATGCCATGGTGAGCGAGGTTGAGGGCCCCACCAGCTGCATCTCTGACATGCTGTTGTCCATCCATATCTCCTGAAAATCTTGGAAAGGATTGGGGAAGGGGCTTTTTAATGTCCTTAGCACCAAGATACCTGGACTCTCTCAGTAAGCAGAACTCTCTCAGGGGCCTTGTCATAATGGGTTGCCTATGTCTTGT